CATATATATATATATACACACGCATATTATTCCTTATGTATATACTACATTAAGATATATTACAGTTATTACAGTGTTGAGGCGGGGGCACATCGACGTTGCAACCTCTCACTTTGCAGTGGACTTGCCTGCCCAAATTCTGCACATAGAAGAGTTTAGGAGTTTTGGTGTTTCAATTGGGTGCATGGCTTTGCATGCCCACTAATCCATTTGCGACTCACGCCAGGTTCAGAAGCCGCTTCCTAAGTGCACGGCCAGCGATGGAAGGAGGAGCTCGGTAACTTGGAGGTTCATGTGCCCGCACACGTAGTAGGTGAGTAGATACTGAATGACCTTTGGGGTACATTATGTATGTGTATACACTAATATATACTTTTTATATACAGGCATACATGTCGCAATGTATGTACATGACGTATGTACATGACCTCAGTAATGCTCTCAGCATCTACACTAAGAGAACCTTAAAGTAAGTGGGATTCACGGTGCCCCGAAAACTCTAAGCATCGACTTCAAAATCCCTCGTCCTCAAACCCTCAATTCTAAGCCTTACACCCTTTAGGGTTGGAGGTTTAATTCGGGTTTAGAGTTTATAAACCTTAACTTCTGAACTCCCACCCGGCCTGCATAGACCCCCCTCACCAGACACTCATAAACACGAACTCAAGCTTCAGAAGTTCCCTAAACCCTAAACCCTAAACACGAGTCTAGGTTTAGTGGAGCTTACGAGCTTATGAGTTAGGGGCTATAGGGCTTCAGGGTGTAGGACTTGAGAGTGTTCGAGGTTCTAGGTATGGAAAAGCCTCGGAGTTTAGGGTTTAGGGTTTAGGTTTGGCTGCATGGCATGCTTCAGGAAAAGAGACATACTTGTCAGGTTTTCTTGTCCAGCACCTGTCGCTGGGAAGACCCCGTACACAAGTCGAAGCCCTGATCCTTAACCTCATTTTTACCCCTGATCCCCACAACCCTAAACCCGGGCTCCTTCACTTCCTACACATTTTCTAACTGGAAGCCCCAGTTAGTCTGGAATACGAGGCGGTACACTCGCGTGAGCCGAAATGGTCTCCCGGACGTGGAATGTATTATAGCTTAATATCGTCTAGTATAGCATAGGCATAGTATAGCCTAGTGTAGTATATTATCGTATAGTAAATTATACCGCCCACATGTCAGGAGCTCTTGCGGCCTGAGCCACTTTACGATTACGATGCAGACGTGGATGCCACTGGCCGTTGAGAAACTGAGTTCTAGAAGGTTTTGTTAAGTACGAAAAAGGGTTGTTTACATAACCCTAAGGGTCCAAGTGCCCAGTATTTGAGCCTTTCTGGGTACTACTTGGACCCTTAGGGTAATGGTTGCAATGTGCTGCTGTAAGAGTTTTATGTAGTTGCAGCTCGCAGGTGAACATCGTGGGAACTGTGAGGATTCTGTGCCTGGAGGAGTAGTGCAAGGTGTGGAGCATGACGGCTGAACGCAAAAGTTCCCGGTTTGGGCTTCAGAGGTCCAAGGATTAGGTCTATGGCTTGCATGCCAAGTTCCCCATGAGCCCCAAGCTAATTCCACACGCTGGATCCCAAACCCATGGAGCATCGTGCTGACGTAGAACATGAGCAGCCCTAAGACAGGGCAGCCACTGACAGGACCTCCAGTGTTTCGAGTCTTTCTCGGAATCTTCCGTTTCAAGTTTGTTACGGCTCACCTTCCATGATCTTAGTGTGCACTTGACACATATCACGAGGCATTTTCCGCCCAAAGACAGTGCTACCAGTACATAAAGCTGTTGGCAGGTTTTATAGCCTTCGGGATGGGTTGCTTTTGTACGCGCCTAGGGTTTAAGTCTTCAAGACGTTGACGGACTGACGGACTGGCACCCATCAGGCTCTTGAATATTGTAAGTCCGTGATGTTAAAACAACTCCCCAAAAAAACAAAAATGACAATAAAACCCAACTCCTCTTTGAGATTCTCCCGGTGAAATTGTTTAATTTACGATTTCGATTCCAGCCCTTATATGGAAGAGGGGGTCTAGCAGTCGGTGGTAGTTTCCACACGAACGCAGAGGATTCCTTATCCCCAAGCCGCAAGTACTGGCCCACATTACTGCGACCCCAAACCCAAGTACCTAGTTATTAGGTCCTTCGGACCTTTTGGGTTTAGCCCTGGGCATCCGAACCGAAGTTTTGTTGATTCGGCCTCCAGCAAGACCCACGCAGTTGCAGGAATTCTGGGAACTTGACATAAGCTCCTCAAGAGTCTATGACTCCAGAATTTTTTGGGGCTTTAATAGGAGGTCTTAACAAAAAGGCAACTAGAGCAGGAGTCTACATTAATGACGAATGTTGGGATAATGAGGGGAGGCACAGCAACTGGAAGTCCTGTTGTCTGACATCGGGTCGCCCGGATCCGAAAAAAGACGTGAAGGCCTTGCCAGACCATCCATAATCCTAGATAGCCAATGGGAGAACTTTAAACTTTTTGCCCCTATATATTAGATCTATCTTAAAAAGTTTGAACTTTTTTGGCCTGGTTCTTGAAGAAGAGAGCAATGAGGAAGGGGTTCCGTGCGAGGGTCCCCATGATGAGAGTGACGTACTTTCGCTCCAATGTGGTGCAAGTATCTAGTGTTGTAGTGGTTCCACTTTGGAACAGCCGACAGCTGACCGCATTATCTCACTGCACAGCGTGCTCCACATCATAAGCCTGAAGTTTTAAGCCTCAATTCCTCGACCCAGGGATCTCTCGAGCCTCAGGGTTTAGGGTTTAGGGCTTTAGGGTTTTAGGGGTGTAGGGTTGATGCACTCCGATGCCCGTACCTTGCAAGCCTCATGATCTCCTCAGTTCCATCACCTTGCGCAGATGTAAGTCATCCAGCTTGACAAGAAACTCCGATCGAGTACTTAGTATGAGATATTGAGAGTTTTGGGCTTAGGGCTTTGCGTTTCTGGACAAGGGTAGTTCCCTAAATTAGGGTCCCTTTTTTGGGTCCCCAATATAGTACGGCACCCTTACCAAAACAGGACCGTAAGTAAGAGCACTACCCACAAGTACGCCTAAAATGCCCTTCGACCTAAGCCCCCTATTCTCCGAAGCTCAGACCTAGATTTCCGGGTTTTCGCTTGCCCGAAACCCTTTTGAATGAAGTCCACTGCTAGGTGCCTCAATGATATAGGGGCCTTGATAATTAGAATAGGGTTTGGGGGTATCTTATACTAGAATCATAATAAGGAACCCCCAAAACCTTATTCTAATTAACAAGGCCCCTACATTAACTTAAAGTCTCTGCCATTGCATGGGGGAAACAAGGAAACTGCTAGAGGGTGATTTTAAGCTGAAGCTACGCCCGTGAGAGCAAGCTCGAGTCTGGGGTTCACGGTTCAGGGTTTAGGGTTTAGGGTTTAGGGTTTAGGGTTTAGGGTCAGCTGAAGTCTTCCCCGGAACTTGAGGGCACATGGACAATAGTACCTCTGCTTCGCGATTCAGGTTCTCGCTGTACTTGTCCTTTTTGCTGAGTAGTTCTAGACGTTAACCCTACTGAAACCGCAGCCTCAAATCAATCCGTTTATGTGCATATCCCGCAGCTGCAGTTCTGTGGCCAGCGTTTCTTGAACATAATCATCCCAAGGATTAGCCATGCAAGCACTCAAGTTTGATTGCAATACAAGGCTTCATAAACTTCATAGAACGTTTCGAAGACGTTCGCATGGGACATTTGGATAGCGCATGGGACATCTGGTTAGATACAATAATATGAGTACCATACTAATACTACTATTATTGCTAAGACTTATCATCATAATACAACTACTCATAGTGACAATCATTGTAGTGAGATACGAGCCTCAAAAAAAGGTGTTCCAGAACGCAGCCCATCAACCCTGAAGCTCCGAAATCGCCATCCGGACCCCTAAAGGACCTGAACAGGGTCGGAGTTCAGGCCTTTGTTGGAGAGACGGTTGAGGGTTTAGGGTTTAGGGTTCAGGGTTCAGGGTTGGGTTTGGATCAAAGGTCGGGGAATCAAGGTTTTCATAGGTGGGCGTATGGTCAAGCATCAGACGGAACTCTTCTTGTTCTTACCCTAAACCCCAAACCCTAAACCCTAAACCCTACCCATCGGGGCTTTACGGTTGAAGGTAGCAGGACACTACTCATCCTCGCCGGTGCAGCTGAACAGCTGGACCCACTCATCGGGATGGCCGCAGCCGATGTCATAGATGAAGTCGACTCTGTCAGCGGCTCGTCTTTAATCTAGTTTTCTAAACCCTAAACCCTATACAGAAGACCCCTAAACCCTAAACCCCAAACCCTAAACCCTATACAGAAGACCCCTAAACCCTAAACCCTAAACCCCAAACCCTAAACCCTAAAGCCTATATAGAAGACCCCGTAACTTTAAGAACTTGATTCGTGGGCCGCATACCATGCAGCCCTCTACATGCCCGACCCCCGACGCCGTGAGCACAAAGGAACCGGAAGTGAAAGTTTAGGGGTTTAGGGTTTAGGGTTTAGAAAAGTTGAAACTTGAAACTTTCAAGCTGATCCTTAAGGGTCCAAGTACCCATTATTTAAGGACTTTGGGGCCTTTTTGGGGTACAAAAACCATCAAATAAGAACTACTTGGACCCCGAGGGTATGAAACCTGGAGCTGAGCTAAACAAATTTGGGGTTTAGGGTTTAGGGTTTAGGGTTTAGGGTTTAGGGTTTAGGGTTTCGGGTTTCGGGTTTAGGGTTTAGGGGTTTAGGGTTTAGGGTTTAGGGTCTATCACGAACTTAGAGAGCCGACTTCCTCTCAGTCTCTTGGCACCTCTGACCCCACTTGTGAGGGGTTGCAAGGTGTATGATTTTGTGTGGTTCTGTCGTCTTAGCGTCTGCTTCTTGTTCTGGATGATTTGGGGTTTAGAGCCTTTAAGGCCCGTTGAGAATGGTTTAGGGTTTAGGGTTTAGGGTTTAGGGTTGAGACACATATCGCTGCTTTGGGGTGTTGCACTCGTGTACACGCGTCAGGCGAAAACCCATTCCAGCCTCTCTTCGGCAATTGCAATGTCAGCGCTGAAGGCCAGGACAGGGAGGATCATTGGGTTTAGGGTTCAGGGTTAGGGTGAATCATGATGAATATAACAGCTTATTATGCTATATTGTATTATACTATACTATATTCGGTTAGATCAGACTGTTTCATATGATTGTCAAAACGGTGTCTGACGGGTTGTGAAGGATAAAGCATTTCAGATTTGAGTTTTAGGTTTTGAGGTCTAGGGTTCGGGATTTCGGGCTCAGGACTGTGCGTTGGTGCTGACGATTGTTCACTGTTGGCAACATAGGGTCCTCAATAATTAATACCTATATTATTTTTTGGGGGGTTAGGTGCCCACCTAAACCTTCAACCTTAAAACTTAAACCCGAAACTCTGAATTACACAATGATCTTGAAGGTACACCGCCTGGTGGGTGTGATTCGACATCGTTTAGGTGTACCGTACCTGGGGATGCTCTACTTCCATTACTAGGTCAACTACGGAAGTCAACCATGCTACAAGTCAACTTTGGATAACCCTTGTGTTTAGGGTTTAGGGTTTAGTATTTAGGGTTTAGGGTTTAGTATTTAGGGTTCTGGGTTTAGGGTTTAGGGTTTAGTATTTAGGGTTTAGGGTTTAGTATTTAGGGTCACGGCTCCGATAAGCCCGCGTCAAAGACTGGTGTGATCAAGAGCCCACGAAGTCACTGCTTCATGCTTGCCCGGTCTCCGATGCAGGACTTACGAACATGGCCGAACAGCTGGCCATGCACTCAGTTTCTACTTTAGGGGCCTTTAATAATTAGACTGGGGTTTGGGGCATATTATACAAAAATCATAATAAGGAACCCCCGAATACACTATGCTAATTATCATTATTTGAATGGGGTTTGGGGCATATTATACAAAAGTTATACTAAGGAGCGCCCCCCAAAAACCCTATTCTAACTGTTGAGGCCCCTACATTAGACTTTCGCGCCTTCCTGTGCTTAGGGGGTTACGGCTCAGGCTGCTCTCCTAGGCTCAAAGTGCACCCGGGGGTTCTTCCTTGTCTGTTTAAGGCTGAGGATTCAGGGTTTAGGGTTTAGGGTTTCGGGTTAGTTTAGGGTTTAGGGTTTGGGTTTTTAGGGTTTAGGGGTTTAGGGGTTTAGGCTTCAGGGGTTTAGGGTTTAAGGTTTAGGGGTTTAGGGTTTAGGGTAAGACTGGTAAAAACTTCTGCGGTATCCACTCTCCAGCCGCCTCCCTGCCAGACCTGGGTTGGAGACTGCCGGGATTTAGGGAAGTTCACGGGATGCTCACAAACCCCAAAGCCTACTGTAGGGGCCTAACTAATTGCCTAATTTTTTCCGGAGGTTCCTTCTGAATAACCATGGTATAATATACTCCAAAACCCTAGTCTAAGTATAAATCATTAAGGCCCCTATATTACACCCTAAACCCTGAACCCTAAAACCCTACAGCCTGCACCAACAACCCTAAAACCCTAAACCCTGCACCCTAAACCCTAAACCCTGAACCCTAAAACCTAAAACCCTAAACCTGCACCCTAAACCCTGAACCCTAAAACCCTAAACCCTGCACCCTAAACCCTAAACCCTAACCTGCAGGGTAAGCCTTGAATCTGCCGTTCCTGCTTCACTGCAGCCCACTGAGAGGAGACAATCCAGGTCCCTCAAAGCTTGCAGCTCCAGAAACACCTCAAGAATACTTAGTTCTCCAATACCCAACCTTTAAACTTTCTGGGCTCTTGTCATTTAGTTGTAATCTGAAAGTTTAACCTTTTTATTTCCCTGGCTTATTGGGGAAGTAAGAATAGGTTTTAGCGTGGTTTAGTGTAGCCTTCAATCTCAAGGCTGAAACTCGCGCAAGTACCTGAAGTGAGGTCCTGGCATCCGTCGGAACAGCCATCGTGGTCCTTGTGGTTGCAAACCTGCTACATCGCTCCTCACCGTGATTTTAAAAGTTTAGGGTTTAGAGTTTAGGGTTATTTTAGCCCTAATCTAGGGGCCTGAATGATTACGTATTTTATGTTGGGGGCTCCTTATTATAATTACAGTATGATGGGCCCCAAAACCCTATTCTAATTATTAAGGCCCCTAAGCCCTAAGCCAACAGAACGAGTTCTCCCCACTTTTGTCTGTGCCTCCTAGGGTCATTGGCTCGGTGGTCTTCACACTACTTGGGATCTAGAGTTCAGGGGTTTGGGGGTCTAGGGTGTGGGTTAAAAAGGTTTGCAGTTAATTTCTACTAGGACTTTGGCCTTGTGGCTCGGGCTTTCACCAAGCTCTTCGGAACTTGGGTCGGAATCTGAGATGCTGGACTCACTGTCGTTTTAGGCTAGAGTATAAAGACTGCATGATTATTGGTGGTTCTTGAGGGTGAGTTCGCACGTAGGATGTCGGTTTGGGGGTATGGCTAAGAAGCCTAAAGCTGAGATTCCTAGCAGATCAATCTCGCAGCCATTCGCAACCCTAAAGTCTAAAACTCTGTACATCAATACCTAGTTAAACCTGCAAACCGATAGATATATACACATATGAAGACAGATAGATAGATAGACCGATAGATAGATTGTTAGATAGATAGAAAGATAGGTAGATATAGAGAGAGATAGAGAGAGAGAGAGAGAGAGATAGATAGAGAGATAGATAGATAGATAGATAGATCGATCGATAGATCGGTAGATAGATCGATAGATAGCTGATCTAATCTAAAACACCGACCTCTGAGCAGTAAAATCCTACACTAACATCCTAAGCCCTAAATTCCAAAACGTGCTTGCTTACAAGAAGGTGTTGAACAAAAGCAATGACTTATCCGTAGTGTTAGCACACTGTTTGGGGAACAAGTCCTAAACATTCCTAGACCTCATAAGCTCAAGCCAAATTGTCATTGTTCGCGAGAAAGGTGTTGAACAAAAGACGCCCTAAACCCTAGACCCCTAAACCCTATAAGCCCTATAAACCCTAAGCCCGAAACCGAAGGCTGCAAGATCACCTTCATCCCGGAGTCGCTGATCGCGGTGGCACTGGGAGGCGTGCTGAGCATCGCCCCCTTGGCTTGATTTTGGATGCCCCCCTTTAGGGTTCTTAAGGGTTTAGGGTTTGGGGTTCAGGGTTTAGGGTTCAGGGTTCTTCCGAGTTTAGGGTTTGGGGTTCAGGGTTCTTCAGGGTTTAGGGGTGATTTTGGATGCCCCACCTATAATCCCTAATCCCCAAACCCAACACCGTAAACCCGAAACCCTAAGTCCTAACCGGTAAACCCCCAGCCCAAAACCCAAAACCGTAAATTCTGAACCCTAAACCTCTGAACCCTAAGCCGGCTGTGATCGTTGGATTTCAGGTTTACGGTCTTTAGGGTAAAGGGACGTCTAGAGTTTTTCGGGGCTAGGCTTCTTCCAAGTTGGTTTATGGGGGGTATGGTTTTGGGTTTTTGGTTCTAGGGTCTGGGGCTTTGGCTAGCAGGGCGTAGGGTTTATGCTTTGAAGGGTGCTGGGTTTAGGATTAGGGATTGAAGAAGTCACTTTTGCTTTTATGACTTTTATCAGGTGTAGGGTTACTGTTTCGTTTACTGGCGCAGGGCTTCTGTTTCTTTCCTAACATACGTTTTCCAGGATTTAGGGCTAGGGTTCAATTTCGTCTTAATAGCTTAGTTGCTGGGTGGGTTGCTTTAACCCGAAGATACATTCCGGCAATGTCTACATGTTTGCTGGGCCAGCGAAAGTTCTTGTTGTTTCTTGGTTTCAGGGCTCAGGGTTCAACGTAAAAGATGTGGGGTATAGTCAAGACTACATGACTACCTAAAGAAAAGCGCGTTGGTGCGCACTATCCATGGTTATGGCTGACAGCGGTGTTAGACCCTAAACCCTAAACCGCTGGGTTTCGAGTGGACGTCCAGTGTTTGCCTGGAGCCTAAACCTTTCAACATCAAAGAAGACAAGCTTAAGAGAGCGAAGCTTTGCGTCCGAGCTCTAACGGAATTGAGGAATAGCCTATGTGCGGAGTGGGTTGGTTTTGACTGCTTTTAGCTTTGGGTGCAGGCTTTCGGGGACCTGGTATTTGATTACGGCCTGTAGTTTCAGGGTCACTGGTCTGGGTCGTAGGTCTGTGAAATTTCATGGCTTCAGTTTGAGGTGTCCGTCGGAGTTCTACTGGTCTACTTGTAGTACCATTCCTTCTCGTATTATTGCCATCACTTGCTACTGCTACTGCTACGTTTACCCTGAAACAACTGCTGCGACGGCGACGACAACTCCTTATACTACGCCTGCTGCAGGGACTAGTGCCTCAACTATACAACCTCCGGCAGCACCACCGCGACAACAAGAACAGCAACACAAGCCACACGAAGCGCAGTCACTTCTATTACAGCGCTCATGACTGCCACTGTTCCACTGCCGGTTTCTACTTCTATCGCTGCATGCCTGTTCACACGATGTTAGTCATTGGTTAACTACGATGACAGTGTTCCTCTTGGGTTTGCGGTGACCAAGGGCCTCTACAAGAGTGAATGGGGCGGTCAGAGAAACTATCTCAGCCAGCCAGTGGAATATGCCCTCTTCAGCCGCTCGAACGGAAGACTTTCATTGTCGGTACCTGGACCCTTAAAAGCATGTAGAATAATAGCCTTTTATGGGGTTTTGGGCAATTATGTTAGCTACTTTAGGGGGTTTAGGTATGGGTTTCCGTTGATAGAGCTGTTGCGAAGCGTTGTTAAATTTCTTGTTCGCAGAATACCGCTCTGCCCAGTTCTTGTAGAGGCAACAGGTCGACTCTGCTTGGTTTGCATGTGCCCTGCCTTTGAAAAAGGCGTATTAGCAGCGGCCGTTCTACTATAGAAGCCTAAATAATTACCTATACTATTCTGGTGGTTTCTTATGAGAATTTATAGTATGAACATACCCCAAAACCCCATGCTAATTATTAAGGCCCCTATATTCCTCCAGGGTTGGTTTCAAGGAGTTCCAGACTGGGGACCTTGCGGACCCCACCCCCGCACCCACGAGCATGAGCACCATACTAAACCGGGTTTAGGGTTTAGCGTTTTAGGGTTGGACCCTTTGTAGGCCTTGTAGGTAGCACTGCCTAAGATTCGTAGCTCTGGGGCCCTTCACGCCACATCCCTGAGTCAAGGGGAACCTTGGGTTTCTGTTCTCTAGATGAGTATTGTCCGGTTTAGGGTTTAGGGTTAAGGGTTTAGCTGGGGCATCCAAAGTTTCTGACAAGGAATGCTCAGCCCTTCAACCCCAATGCAGTTTTCTCACTGGCTGTCGCGGCCCATCTACCGCGACACTTCAGGGTCATGATGAAGATGCGTTGCCTGCCGTATGGCCACGATGATGATAAGATCATGATGCTGCTGCTGCTGATGATGAACCTGCTGATGATGCAAAGGATGCAGGTTGCGATGATGAAGGTGATGATGATGATGGTGATGATGACGATGATTATGATGGTGATGATATGATGATGATGATGATGATGATGATGATGAGGTTGATGAGGATGATAGTGATGATGATGATGATGATGATGACGACGATGATGATAATCGATGGTGATGGTGCTGCTGTGGATGGTGATGATGATGCTGATGCTCATGCTGATGCTGATGCTGCTGCTAATGCTGCTGCAGATCATGACGATGATGATGACAGCTATGCGTTTTGGCACTCGCGAGTCTTCATAAGCTGTATCGTGACATAGCGTCTGGCAAAGCTCTCAACGCAAGGGTCCCTAAGCCATACGCGCTGAAGCCCGTGTGTCTGAAAGTCCAAACTTCTGTTTGATCTGGTGGACGGCAAAAAAACGCATTAAAACTTCCCCCTAAAGCCAAAGCGCCCAGAATCGTTGAACTCAAAACCCTCAAACTCTCAGCCCCCTCCTCAACCCTTGAATGCGAGCCGCCGATTGCCAGACAGCTAAGGCTTGTCTCTGAAGCTTTACTGCTTGTCACTTCAGCTGAAGTACTGGTTTCAGCTGTTTCGGGTGCTTGGTTTCCGCGTCTACGCTTGCGGGGGTTTGGGGTTTGGAGAGCTGCAGGTTATCCGCAATTCGCAAGGTCTCAAACGTTTAGGTTCCAGTGCACTTCGCTTGAACTCCGCGATAGCCAGCCAGCGTGCTGTGTCACGTGGGACACCTCTATTGCATTTGGAAACGTGTGTTCTTTTCGATTGGTATTGGTTCCATTCACTTTGGAACAAGTGATTTTAAGTTTCTGAAGGAAACACAATCAGACATTCATAGGAGGGCCGCGCACGAGAATTCTCTCAGCCCCAGCACCAAACCCCGCTCCACTGTAGACGCCCAAGTGCTATGCTTAGAACTCTTCGCGTCTGTACATTGCGCAGCAGCCGGGCCGGCTACCACAGCCGCAGCCTACTAAACGGTTTAGGGGTTAGGGTTTAGGGTTTAGGCTAATTTATATAAGACAGACTGAGCATGAGTACGACAGGATAGGTTTGGTTGTGGAAGGTATGAGGTCATTGCATTCTGCACCCCTGGCTCATGAGCACATGGTCCTGCCCGGAGACCGTCGAGCTGGCTCTGTTTTCACAAACTTCTAGCATTACATTATAATTTGATCTTTAGGAAATGTGTTCTACCGATTGGAGATAATGTTTGAACATATTCGTGCAGGCTGCATGGTTCAGTCCTGGGCAGAAAAGACCAAGTCATTGGTCGACCACACCTTGCAGGCGCAGCAAAGCGCATCCGACCGGCATCCGTACCTCAAGATCTTAGAACTCTCTCCAGACTTCCAGGACGTTGAGCTGCAGCGCAAGAAAGAGCTGGCCTTGTTGCTTCATCCTAAGAGCATTGACGGCACAGTGGCCCGTCTCTGTGGTGGCTGGGATCGTGTTTGCCAAGCCTCCTGTCTCCTGGACGCTGCCGTGAAAGATGCGGAGCGGTGGCTTTGCTCGAGGTCGACTGCATCATCTTCACATAACGAGTCTCAGTGTAGCGACGATTCAGGGTTGAAGCACAGGCTGTGGGAAGTGGCATTGGATTCAGAGTTCAGAGCCCGGAAGCTGTTGAGAGATCTTGAATCCAAGCTTGTGAGACCGAACTCAAAGCAGCAGGCGACGAGGCAACCACTGCAAGAAGGTGCTAGATCCACTCAGACCGCCGTGAAGATGCTTGCGAGTATGAAAAGACAGCAGGAGCTGCCACAAGAAGAGCCGACTGCGACCCTACAGCTGCAGCCTCGGAAGAAGCGCCGAGCCCAAGGCGACTTCGGGTCACCACGGCAGAAGCTACCGGAGGTCGGCCATGGTCGGCAAGAAGGAGCCGAACAGCAGGCGACTGCAAAAGTGCAAGAGCCAGGCTGCCACACTGGCTGCCTTGAGGAGTGTGAACAGCAAGAACCTGAACCAGAGCAGGCGCAGCAGACGACAGAGAGCAATTTGCAGTTCGCCCTGCGGAAGCAGAAGGAGGAATATCAGAGGTTGCAGGCTGAGTCTCAAAAGACGCAGACGTCGCAACCCACCCAGCGTTCGGACGCGCATGAGCAGCCCGAAGAGTGTCCCGCGAGTAGTGACAAGTCTTCATGTGCGCAGACCACATCTGATCTTCCTTGTGCTCTTTGTCGTGGCGAACTAGAAACTGAGGCCGCGAGTACCAGAATGGCAAGACAGCAGCCGTCGACCCTGACAGGCCTCATCGGGCAAGTTACAGAAGTCTTGCTGAACTGTGCAACTCATCATGGGCAAGGCTTCTCGGGTGTGAGCTTGGAGGAATTCTGCCGTGATTTTCGGCAGCTCGTGGGAGAGTCCCTGGAGGATTCTGTGCTACTGGCGCAGGAGCCCAACCTGCTCTGCTTCCTCCGAAAGTGGCCTGAACAAGTTGAGCTCTTCATGGACACCGAAACTTGTAGCTGGATGCTGCAACCCTGTGCGACAGTCCGGTCCTCGCAGCAGCAGCAGCTGATGAGAGCTTCTTGAGATGCTGAGCGACTTGGACGTGTCGAAGGACAGGGCTTATGAGGAAGCTGTATGTATGACAGGACTTGACAGAGTATGTCCGGAAACTAACACCCTCATGCCAGCCAGCTCGAGTACTTGCAGGGTCAGAGACTTAACAAACTATGTCGTTAACAGTACAATCATGGCAACTGCCAATCGCCTATCGCCCCAGCTAGGGTCGTTATATCCGTAGAATTAGCCTTACGAATTACGAAGTCCCCTGATCCTCCAAATAGTGCAGCACTGCAGACATAGCTCTCACAGGTACTGCTCAGGACTCATCCTCAGCTTTAATCGGCTTTTCCTATTCTGACGCCGCAACTAGTCACAAGTCGGGACGTCGTTGTGCCAAGTCGGAGCTGGTACTTACGGAAAGTTCGCGCGCCTTGAGGTGCAAGGTGCTTTTGTTAGGCTGACCTCGGGCTTGGGGATCGGCCCGGTCACCGGCGGGAGATGTCGAAAAGACCATCCTTGACTCGGGACGCAGCTTCATGGGGAGGGGCGGTGGGGTTGGGGGGGGGGGGGGTCCTGTCAGGGCTCCTTCTTCGCTTCCTTCTTAGGGTTCTTGTATATGGTTGGTTTTTGGGGCTCTCTAGGGGTTCTGGGCCCCTGGGCTTGCAGCGCCGCATCCACTCTTGCGCCCAAAGCTGGAAACGTCTGAATCTTGGGCAGCCGTCTCCTTTTCGCTGAACATATGAGAGTTCCGAATCCGGGTTTAGGGATCTCAAATGCCCTGCAAGACCTCCGAATCCGAGTATTTAGAACCGTGGGTTTCGGGGCCAGGACAAGAAGTAAATATATCACCTGATCATAGTCCCCTTTATTAGTTATCTACGCCTAAGTTATATATACCACCACGCATCCCAGGATGCTTTACTGAGCATGAAGGCCCCGGAAAACCGCAGCCCGTGATCCTTCATCGAAGCCTTGGAAGAACCCTAATGTAGGGGCCTAGATA